TGACTCTCCCATCTAGTCGGCGTCAAGCCCCGACGTTGAACTCCTCCCTACCCATCTCCGATCAAGGCTCGATCGAAGCCTTACTTGGACAAGCTCTTCTCCTCTCCGACAAAATTTCCTCCACCAATCTCAACCATAGACCTAGCCGCTCTCTCCATTTCTTCCTCCAAGCCGTGACCCCCTCTATGCTCTTACTCGATCGCCCCCTTAGTTATAGGTATACTTTTTTTTTATGTATAATCATATTATTAGTTATATTATTATTATTAGTGTTAATATTAACATTAATGAATTATTAGTATTATTATTATTGTTAACAATAATATTTGTATTAATATTCCTATTAATGATAATATTATCATTATTAATAATAATAACATTATAACTTATTATTATTATTATTATTTTTATTATTATTTAAGTGTAATTAATTTGTTAAATAATTATAATTAGTTATAAATTAATTATAATTTTTATAATTAGTTTATATTAATTATAATTAATCATAGTTAATTATTATCATTAATAATTAAATATGATTAATTATCATTAATTGTAGGGTGGGAATCTGATGCGGCACTTGTAGCGAGGTGGGATAAAATTATATATATATATATATATATATATAAGTACCCCCAAACACTCACGTAGTGTAGAGGGTGAAATTTGTGCTCTTTTTTAACTAGTGCTCCAAACCCTTAAACGCTCATGTAGCAGACGGGGATAAAAAAAATATTTACGATCACGGTGTCATTTTTGACACCTACCTGAAGCACTCACGTAGCGTCGAGGGGAAGGTTGTCTCTTAGTTTTTTCCCCTAAACGGTGGAGATGCCAGGAGGCTGCCGAAATTTGGATAAAAAATCCAAGAACTTGAACAAAAAATGGTGAAATTGGACTTAAGCTTGAGCTTGAACATTAAATGAACTTAATATAAACTTGAATCAAATGATAAGAACAAAGAACTTGAGAATGATCTTGAACTCAAAGGACTACACTCAAACTTGATTTGAGCTTTAATTGAACCTGAACTTGCATTTGATTTGAAAATCAAATGATGTGAGCAAAGACTTGAACAACTTGAACTCAAGCAGAGGACTTGTGGACACGAACTTGATTTGAATGAAACTACTTAAATTTGAACTTGAATGACTTGGGTAACATGGAATTTGAACTCAATTTGCACCAAACTCAATCAAGAAGAACTTGATTCGTGCTTGGACTTAAATTGATCTTGCATAAAGAACCATTCCTTGAATTTAGATAATCTTTGAATGATGACATTGAAATCAAATGTGAATATGTATGTAAGGGTCTCTTGTTAAGCAAGTCTCAATGTATATGAATGATGAACAATGAAATTTAGATGATTCAAAGTGTCCAACCAAGATGACTTGCAAACGAGAGAAAGTGATATCTATATTGATCATACAATCAAATGCTACTAGAATGATTTTTGCATGAAGTGTATGATGAATACGGTGGCACTTTCATAATCAACTTATGTATGTAAACAAAGTAGTGGAAATCCACAAGGAATGAAAGTGTAATCAAATGGAAAATGTTCATCATAATGGTTTCGTAAAGGATTTGTGTTGCTAATCATAACACACACAAGTGAATGTTATAAGTTGCCAATCAACATGCATGGAGAGATTATTGATGGGTGCGATCCATTCAGCAAGTCAATGTTAATATACAAAGTGAATATGCTAATTCTACCTACAAACAACAAAACTAGTGGTGCTTAATAGATAATGAATCATTTATGAATAATAAAGATTGGCATACACATAGATATGGTGATTCTTCAATAAGAGACAATATAAATATGATGATTTGCCAACCACCATACGCAACGCAATAGGTCTACAAGCAAAGAAAGAGGAATGTTAAGGATATAACTTCCTTCCAATCAATGCTTAATATAGTCCATTGGGAATCATGCTTGATAACTATTGAAATGCTATGAATACGAAAAGCATACGCAAAACACATAAGAAATGCAATGAATACAAAGGATCATACGTAAAACACATAAGAAATGGTGATACATGAAAGCACCTACAAGCTATGTAGCAAGAGCCGATGAATGATGTAATGCTCTTGTAGTCAACCACCATTCAACATCAAGCAAATATATTGGACCTCTACAAGCAAGGATAAAAGATCTACAACACATACGATCTCTCTACAAAGACAGATGTATGTATAACATGCCACCCATGAGTAGATACAGAAAGACTTCAGTAAATACAATATCCTGTAGTCAATTTCAAACTGTAAATGAATCTACCTACCTACCTACATGCAGCAGTAGCGGATGCACTAAAAGGATCAAAGACCACGAACAAGTGCCAAAGGGTTACAACAAATGCAAGCTGCTACAAATCACTATAAGAAATTTATTGTACACAAAGTACACTACTTGCAAGCAAATGTTAAAAAGACTACGACAAAGATGGACTTCTATGAGCCATCATAAAAAACCAGTCGAATGTCTAAAATATCCCCGCACAAGTGCACCGTAGTTTATATATACATAGGTACACTAAAAGGGGTAAAAGCAATCATAGAACCCGCATGGGCCCTGGCGAGTGTGTTATTGATACACACGTGACGTCTAGGGATGTTGCTCGGGTTATTAAATTTAAACCTGATCCTCCGTAACAGGTAAAAAGGAGTCGACAGGGTTTAATTATAAAATGCCCCCAAACACCCGCATGGGCCCTAGCGAGCGTGTTGTGCAAACACACGTGACGTCTAGGATGCTGCGCGGGTCAATAAGTTAATTCAAGTTTGAACTCGATCCTTCTATACAGATCAATAGGAGTCGACAAGGTTCGAACCAACAAATAAATATGTGGCCGTAGCGACCATAATATTTGTTTTAATACATTCATGTTAGGTCTTCAAAGCTTATAACAAAATGAATTCACTAACAAAGGCATAAAACCTACGAAACACGATCCTCTATTGATAGCTCGATAGAGTCGACAAGGTTCATCCATAAAATACAAATATTTTTAAGTGGAAATGACCCCACGAACACCCCGATGATGGTCGTGTTGAATGTAAATCTCAACTGGAGGGGTCCATTTCATAAATATTTTCAAATGCCATCCAAGCTCCACCCAAAAATCCAAAACTCCAAAAAAAATCCCAAAGTCCAAAAAATATTTAAAAATGAAACTATCCATCCCAACACTTAAAGCAAAGCCCATCCACCATCCGCAACAGTTTGCCGGGGTGGGCAAATTCAAATATAACTTCAGCTCACAATGAGAAAAATGCCTAGTCGAAAATATCACTATGATCCATTCTCAAAAAGTCTCCTGCTAATAAGGACGTGGTACGTGTCTTCTAACCGGCGGTTTTGCAGCCAAATGGCATCACAAAAACTAGTTATGGCCAGAGCCAATACGCTCCTTAGTGGCATCAAATCCTTGATATATGAATTAATAGGATATAATCGATAGGGCACAAAGCCCTATGTTAGCTAAGGCGGATTCAAATTTGTCCCCTTAGACAAACATTCACCCCAGGTCTACAAGGCCCCCTTGGACGAAGCAACCCATGGCTGCTGACAAGGATCCTTCTGTCATGTTGGTCAACTACCTCCTTTGACTAAGTAGACCAAGGACCACGATGGCCCGGGACGATGGAACCATGAGATCTTGATCGGGTCTATCATCCATTCCCCACCATCTTCTTTAAGTGCAAGATGAAGAAATTTTCATTTTAAATATCAAATCTTCCAACTTTCCAAATTCCCAAATCCAAATTCATGCTGCTATTATATGCCTGATAACACGTATATATTGATACAATGTATCTGATTGACGACTAGCCTTAATCGAAAGTTCTCTCTCGTGATCAGGAGGGGTGATTAACTATAGGGTCTTGCGCCTATAGGAAACCAGAACTCAGATCATAAAGTCCTCACAAAATGAGGTCGAAATCTCTGGGTAGTGTCTTATCTACAAATCCATCTGCCTTTCAAAATTTACCCCAGAACTTATTCTGTTAAAACTCTCTCGCCAAAGCAAGAACAAACAGTCATCGGGCGGAGGCCAGGGCCAAATTTTCGGAGCCCACAGGAAAATGAAGGGAAAGAGAAGGTTGGTGAAATTAAAGAAGACTTCGAATCTCTTATTTTTAATACATCATCAATACCAAACCATGTCATAACTGGCCGTAAAAGTCTCTAGGTTGAAAATAAAATATAAAATATAAAATTATAAATTATAAATAATTTTTCTAAATTATGACCTCTTTATTGGCCAATTTTTTATATTTTCATTGGGCTTTTGCCTTACCTCTTGCAATTGAGCTTCCAGCTTGGCTATCTTGATCGTCCTAATGTGCTACATCAGTGCTATTTGGGAATTTTACAATTTTCAATTATTTTTTATATTATAATTATCTCAAATAAAATCTCAAACAGTTATATTTGAATGTAATCATGAGTTGTAATAATTAATAAAAGAATTTATATATTAAGTTATGATTATTTTGAAATTAAAAAAACTTCAAATCCATGGAGTTGGCCTAAAGCAAGTGCACTTTCTCAAGTCCAAGTCTGTATTAATCAAAAGTAGTGTCTTTACAATTTAATAAAAATAACTTCCAAACTGCATCACTTATCAAGCATCTATGCTTTCCTGTGATGAAGTTTGGCTATTTATCCTTCCACAGAAACAAATTATGTGGCAATGGAAAGGCATTAACAAAATTAATAAAGCAAATGATGCTGATCACACACCATTACATTTGAAAAAAATGTACTATGGCTGTGCATTTATAAATAATAGCTATTTTTTTATACTCGAAAACTGCTTTAAGAAACAGTAAAAAAATGTTCTAAACGAAGCCTTAATTTCTTTTGCTGTTAAATAATGTCACAAGTATGTAGCCATAAAAACTAAACCCACCAAGCCATTATCCACTTGTATTTTCAAACAAGAGGAAGAAAGGGAAAATAAAGGTTATAAGCTATGTAGAGAATGAAATATAAACCTTGAATCATTGCCACTGTAAGTAATATTATTTTTTATTAGCTCCACAATACAAATAAGGTGTTTGTAGAGCTACCACCTCCTATTATAATACTAGCATTCATTATAAACAATTTTTTGAGCTATAATGGAGACCATCCATAGATTGCTAGGCATTCATTCTCTTTAGCTTGCAATTCTTCAGTTTATAACCAACTTGTTTGGCTTGAGAAGTAACAGTATCTTTCCACCGGGCCTCCTTCAATCAATTAACTGTGAAGAACCTGTCGTCACCTGCATTTCATTCTGATAAATTCAAATAGGTGAGAGGGTTCTCTCAAAATCTACTTCTTAATAGATAGAAATCTTATAAGGGCCCATTTTATTACCTCAATATATAAACCATATTTTTAAAATATAATGAAATTTATAAGATGCATTAGTTCATTAGAAAAAATTTAAAATGCAATTTGATTTCAAAATCCGTTTAAAAGATTTTATTTTTACACATAAAAGTGAAACTAAAATTGTTACTTTTAACATCTATTTCCTAATTTCAAGCAACTAAGTGGAACCTATGCAAGATAACGTTTTGCTTTTTAGGGCATACCTTTTCCTGTTGCTCTTCAATGTAGTAGAAGATGAAGGATTGCTATGCCAGTTTCTCTTTCTCTGGTTGATGAACCAGTTATTAATCTGTTTCAACGGCAACCCAGTCTCCCGTACTAATCGGGCTTTATCATCCTCCTATATACAAAGATATATTTGTAAATATTATCGTAATTGATCGCTCGAATACGAAATTAAGGCTTTATTTGGGACATGTTTCTTACTGCTTTCTAAAGTAACTTTTTAGTACAAAAATTTTTTGAACTAAAAAATTTTGTACTAGAAAGCTGTTTTAGAAAGCAGTAAGAAAACTGTCCCAAACAAAGTCTAAATCTGAATAAAGAAATGAATATAAGATAGAAAGTAGACAAACTGTAGGGTAAGGCCACTTAGAGTGTGACTGCCACCATTCCTTCAAAGTAGAAGTTGTATCACCTGGGAGTTTCCCAGCTCTCCTCTTACGTTGAATTTCCTCTCTAATGTCCACAATTTTTTCTTTGTATCCCTAATAATTGAAAATAGTTGGTTAGTAATAGTATGCTTTTGATGTGAAGTTATGAAATAATGATTCCCTACAATTTTCAATTCTTGCTTCAGCTCTTGACGAACACGTTCCATTAGTGTCCTTTCACTTTCTGTTGGCATGAGAGGGCCAAAACCCATAAAATTAGATCCATCAAAATTTACATCAAAAAAATTTGTTTCACTTTCATCTTGATCATCATCATCATCATCATCTGACATTGTTGCACCAATTCCTTCACCGGATGATACACCTACAAAATTATGTTTAAGAACATAAAACTTTTCACTAGTCATTACCATCATTTTAAGTATCACCCTTCTGGTTTCTTACAACTAGAAAATAAACTTTTGAAGCAATATTTACCTTTAATACATTTCTATAAAATGGGATCATTTTGTATGAGAAACTTAATGATGTTTAAAAGTTAAATTGATTTGATTTCTAATTGCATCTAGATATATGCTAGAATATAGCAAATTTTATTATTATCTAATACATGTTTTTTTATCTACAAACAATCAAATGGACCCACAACACTGTGGGCTCCGAAAATTCGGCCACTGCCCTGCCCGCACTGTTGTGGTTTTTTTTTTCGGCGAGAGAGTTTTAACGGACTAAGTTCTGGGTCATGGGTTGCTTCGTCCAAGGGTACCTTGTAGACCTGGGTTGAATATTTGTCTAAGGGGACAAATTTGAATCCACCTTAGCTAACAGAGGGCTTTGTGCCCAATCGATCATATCCTATTGATTCATATCTCAAGGATTTGATGCCAATAAGGAGCGTATTGGCTTTAGCCATAACCGGTATTTCGTGGTATCATTTGGCGGCAAAACCACTTGATTCAAAGGGTCCTGGGTCATAACCGTTTATCCTGCGGTGCCATTTGGCAGCAAAACCGTCGATTAGAGGACACGTACCACGTCCTTATTGGCAGAAGATTATTTGAGAATTGATCATAGTAATTTTTTTGACTAGGCATTAGCTCTATATGAGCTGAAGTAAATTTTAATTTGTCCACCTTGATAAACTATTGCGGAGGGTGGATGAATTTTGCTTTGAGTGTTGATGGATGGATTTCAGTTTTAAATATTTGGATTTTTATGATTTAAGGTATGAATTTTGCTTTGGTATGATTGCGTCGGGGCCCATGCGGATTGTATGATTGTATTTACCCCTTGGTGTACCTATGTGCATACATATTACAGTGCATGTGCGGGGGTATTTTGAAAATATTTAGAAACGCCTTCTATCCACTGGCATGGAAGTTGCGGATCTGGTGGCATATTGTAGCAGCTTATGGATTGAGTTCTTTGCTTCTTTGTACAGATAGGCTGTCGTGTACTACTCGCATGAATTATGCAGGTATATTGTAGTGCACTAACCAATCTCCTGTTTTTGGTCGTAGGAGCTTACACTTGTCATATTCTCCATGCATTTTGTTGTGATCTTTGGTCTTTTCAGTACATCCGCTACTGCTGCATGCAGGTAGGTAGATGTCTTCATTTACAGACTAAAATTGACTACAGGATACTGCATTTACTGAAGTCTTTCTGCATCTACCCACATATGGTATATGGTGCTCACATCTGTATTCATGGACTTGTATGTATTGCAGATCTTTTATCATTGCCTGTAGGCAAGTTGTACCAAATTTTGGTTATCTGTAACGCTCTATAGGACCTTACATACATTACAAGTGTGTTACCATCTTTCTCGTTGTAGTTGATTGAATGATTAATACAAATGTGATTCTCAAATAGACTTAGCTGGATACTCTGAGCCCATTTTGTTTTCATCATTCATCATTTAAATGCATTGAGAGCTTGATGTGTTTGTTTGTAGATTATTGCTGACTGTCAAATTATCATGTTCATTGTACCTCTTTGCAATCGTTGAAATTATCTCACACTATTCTGCAACATGATTGAGATAAGTATCATAAGCTGGTTGATTGCAAGTTGCATATAGATTTTGCAATTCCTTGGAGACATTGTGCTGTTATATATATATATATATATATATATATATATATATATATATGAGAGAGGGTCTA